TGGTCTTCGACTGCTACGACTATAGCGAGGAACAAAAAGTGAAGGTTGCCACCGTGGAGTTCACCGACTACGCACTAGTCTGGTGGGACCAAGTGAGGACCACGAGGAGGAGGATGGGAGAACCACGTGTCCGGACTTGGCGAGAACTCAAGGTGAAAATAGACTCTATTGCAACTCTAATTTATGCTGACTACTAGTGAACTAGACTCTATTGCAACTCTAATTTATGCTGTTTGTAAACGTTTTATAGGAGATCCTAATAAATTACAAGAAAGAAGTTCATAAATATTAATTAATTAACTTGCCCAAACTTACATGATTTCCAATGGTAGAAAGATATGTTTTCAAACAAAGTATTCCTTGAGAACAGATTGTAATCATTCTTATTGAAAAGAAAGATTTTTAGTAGGATTACCAAAATTATTTGCTGAAAAGGTAAGGCAAAGAATTAGAGGGTTACATAATGGAGAAATACCTTATTCAAATTTAACTTATGGTGATTTGATAAACTTTATTAGTTCTGAAGGATTAAGTTTGTGTACCGATTTAAAATTAAAGTAAAAAATCAAAAGCAAAGGACTAGAAACAAGAAGAGAATTAGGATCATTTTGTTAGCAATATGGTTATGAAAAAATAGAAGCCCCTACTACAAAAAGAATAAAGTCTTCAAAATCCTCTAAACCCAAATCTTATCCAAAATCTAATAAAATTAGGATAAGAACTTCTACTTCATCTAGATCTTATTCAGCAAATAAAAGGGTAAGTTTCTCTAAAACATCTAAAAATAGCAAAACTAGAACTAAAACCAAGTCTGAGTCCCAAGCATCTTCTCAAGCTTCTTCGGACGTCCGTTTTAAATGTTGTAAACCAGGACACATTGCTAGGCATTGTAAAGTTAGAGATAAAATTTCATTTTAGAATTAGAAGAAGATATTAAAACTCAAATATTAAATAGTATTGACCAAATTTCTAAATCAGAATCTAAACAAGATGTAATTTTTCATATACAAGAAAATTCTGACAAAGAATATAAGCTTTCAACAAATAGTTGTGAATGTATAGGAATTTGTGAATGTGGGTATTCAAATATAAATGTTATTTCCAGAAGTCAAAACCAATTCTTTCTAAATTAATTGATAAACTAAATTATAACAACGTAAAACAAGATTATCTACTAAAATTAAAAGACATAGTAATTCAAGAAGAAAATTTTAAAAATATAGAACCTTTTAATTTAAAGGAAGTTTTCAATAGATTTAACCGCAAGTCAGTATTAGTACTTAAGATATATAAGGGAGAATTAAAATTATTAAAAACTAAAAATTATGATATAAAGTATCAACTCTTGGCGTTACAAACAAAAATTCAAATCATAAAAGAATCTAAACAAAAAGAAGAACAATTACATTTTTCAAAAACAAATAATAATATACAAGTTGAGAAAAATAGCAAAGGATATTTGATTGCCTTTATTTCAGAAATAAAGTTTTAAAGATGGTATATTATAGTTAAAATTGTTATAAATAAAGAAATATATTTAGATATAATAGCATTATTAGATTCTGGAGTAGATCATAATTTTATTTTAGAAGGATTAGTTCCTACTCAATATTATGAAAAAACTAAAGAAAAATTATGTTGAGCAAGTGGGAAAAGATTATAAGTTAATTATAAATGTTCAAATGTACATGTTTGTAGACAGGGGTTTTGCTTTCAAAATACTTTTGTTTTAGTAAAATATTTACATCAAGACATAATTTCATGAACTTCATTATTATCCCAAAATTTTCCATTTTATGTAAGTGATAAAGGAATTACTACAAAAGTCTTAGATCAAGAAATTTATTTTCCTTTTATGACTTCTCCATTAGTTAAAGGAGTAAATTTTATTCAAACTACTAAGAAACTAGTACAAAAGGCAATAAATAATATTACAAAACAAACAAATTATTTAAAAGAAGAAATAAAAGCTAATCAAATAGAAGAGAGATTGCAAACCAAAATAATGCAAGAAAAATAATAGACATATAAGAAAAATTTTTAAAAGAAATTTGTTCAAACTTACCAAATAATTTTTAGGAAAGGAAAAAACATATTGTTCATTTGCCATATATCCTAGAATTCAATGGAAAATGATATTCGAACTAAAACCAGGCCAAATCAAATGAATATGGAATTATTAGAATATTGCAAAAAAAAAAAGAAATACAAATATTATTAGAAAAAGATATAATAGAACCCTCCAAATCTCCCTGGAGTTGTTTAGCTTTTTATGTAATTAATAATGCAGAAATTGAACGAGGTGCTCCAAAACTTGTTATTAATTATAAACCATTAAATAAAGTTTTATTATGGATTAGGTACCCAATTCCAAATAAAAGAGATTTATTAAAAAAAATTATAGTTCAGTGATCTATTCAAAATTTGATATGGCAAATACAAATTGCTATAGAAGATAGGTATAAAATCACTTTTAATGTTCATTTTGGACAATATCAATGGAAAATCATGCTATTTGAACTAAAAACTACACTATATGAATTCCAAAAAATTATGAATGATATTTGTAATCATTATTCTACTTTTGCTATTGTCTACATAGATGATATACTAATTTTCTAAGATTCAATAGAAAAACATTTTAAACACTTGAAAATATTTTTTAACACCATTAAGGAAAATAGATTAGTTGTTTCAGAATAAAAAATGAAATTATTCCAAAAAAAAATAAGATTTTTAGGACATGATATTTATCAAGGAAATTACAAGCCAATTTGGTAGATCTCGAGAAGTTGCTAATAAATTTTTAGATGAAATTAAAGACAAAAATCAATCACAAAGATTTTTTGGATGTCTTAATTATGTTTTTGATTTTATTAAGAATTTAAGACAAATTTGTAAACCATTATATAAAGGATTTACGAAAAATCCTCCAACTTGGACCAAAGATCATACTAAAGCAGTCCAAAAAGTTAAGCAAATTTGTTATGCATCTTCCATTTTTAGGAATTTTTTATCCCCATGCATTCAGGATAGTTGAAACTGATGCATCAGATGTAGGATACGGAGGCATTTTCAAACAAAACAAACATGTTACATCATATGAACATACGTATGATTCTAGACTTGACTTGAAACAAAATGAGGAATTAGTCCGATATCATTTTGGTGTCTGGATTGGAGCTCAAAAGAATTATTCACAATTAAAAAAGAAATTTTATCAATCATTTTATGTATTAAATTAAATTATAAATTAAAAGTTTTTATTATGAATTGATTGTAAGGTAGCAAAAGATGTTTTACAAAAGGATGTTAAAAATTTAGTTTCAAACAACTTTTTGCAAGATGGCAAGCTATACTTTCAAATTTCGACTTTGAAATCGAATTTATCAAAAGAGAACAAATTTCTTTATTGGATTTTCCAACTAAAGAATTTTTACAAGGAAATGTCCAGCAGATCTAAATACAAGTCTTCAAGGCCCTTTTTAACCTATTCAAACACTCTTACTCCAATTCCGACTCAAGCAACAAGACAAAGGCCCACGTCTCAAAGGCTTTTAGCCAACTTAATAGACTCCAAACACTTATATTAGTGCTATTAAAAACCCTATTATTTAAACTCCTCCATCTAGTCCAAGTACTTCAAGCCCAAGTCCCAACCAAGCGCCATTACCAAAAACAATTAATCCTCCTAAAGTATCTAGTCCAGATACATCTTCTCCTCATTTCCATCTACTTTAAGCTATTAAGCCCCTTTATTGCCAAAATTATATCTCCAAACAAGATGATGCATATATTGGACAAATGGAACCCTCTTTTGCAAATAAAACTTGTATTGAACTGATTCAAACCGATTTTCATCCAAACCCACTCTACTTTTCGAATACCCCTTTCAAAACCCAAAGATTCTTTGAACAAATTTTACTAGAAATTGATTCTATTAAACCTTTGAAATAGTTTCCAGAAGAAACCCTAGAAGATCAAGCCAAATACCACAAAATAAAAATTAAGAAAATTATAAATCGAAAGAGTGGCCTCTTACAGGATACGAAAGTCAAATCCAATCTAAAATTTGTTTCAAGCCAGTTGTTTATATTTATACTAGAAACTGATTCTATTGAACCTTTCAAATAGTTTCCAGAAGAAACCCCAGAAGAATAAGCCAAATACCACAAAATAAAAATTAAGAAAATTATAAATCAGAAGAGTGGCATCTTACAGGATATGAAACTCAAATCCAATTTAAAATTCCTTTCAAGCTAGTTGTTTATATTTATCATGATTACATCAAAATCTGGTGTCATATATTTTATTTTAGCCCATTTTTTCATCCACCATTCATATGATTACTTCCAACTGCCACCCATGATTTTCCATGATGGTTCTATACATGGTGGAAAGATTTTGGTGGAAATCTAGAGATTATACCAACTAACTTTCATGAGGACTTCAAACTCTTTGAAAAAGGATCCAATTTTAAACAGGATTCCATAAATATTTTGTTGGAATTTTAATAAGGTTATTTACCAAGGGATTAATATTTTTACTAGAAATTCAAAATTAAATGGTGGGACTCAGTGAAAGAAATAAAATATTCTATGCAACGAGAGATTTCCAAACCAGAACAAACAAAAAATCAAGAATTTATGACTACAAAAAATAGGTTTCAATGCCTTATGGCAACCAGTACCAATAAAGAAAATTTCAAGAAAAAATTGATCGATTTTCTATCCCAAATTGATCGAGAATAAAAAGTGGAATTTTCTCAAGATCCTACTCAGGAAAATAAAGATGATTGCTATGGAATTTTTAGCCCAATTTAATAAAAGTGGGACCCAGCCATTCAAAATGTCAGATAAAGAAGAAATCTAAATGACCAATGAAATTTCAGATTACCAGACAAAAGAAGATAAGATGACTCGAGCAATTACGTAATTGAAGGAATATTCTCAAGCATATCTCTCTTACCCGCTCTATATAAAGAAGAGAAATAAAACCAAACGGATCAAGGGAAGAAAATCTCTTTCTGAAATTACTTTGCCAAGCTCCTCTCTCCCAAACTCTTATATCTTTACAAACTTCAATTTCTTTGTAATAGATAGGATTATTTCAAGAAAAGATCAAGCTTTGAAGTAATATGTTGTAAGATTTCTTTTGAAATTATATTTTAAATAATATTCTAAATTTATATTCCAAATTTATGCATTCATGCATCGTGTATATGGCTAGTACTACTGCCTGTTTCATGCATATGGTCAGCCAAGCTGCCTGTTTTAATTTTTGCAAATATATATCATGTTATATTATTTCCAAAAAATAATTTGGATTATCTTTCATTTTCATCCTGGGATATATATATATATATATATATATATATATATATATATATATATATATATATATATATGACATTTTGACTAGTTGGGTTCCACTAGTAAAATTGGAGAATCTAATCCTAATCGACGTAAAGGTTTAATAGCTATTTGAACCATTCCTATATGTAAAAATCTATATTTTGTATAATGATTAACAATTGCTTTTTTATTTAGTAATTTAGTTGATTCATGATTCTTTTTAAGAGAAATAGTTTGTTTTGTTAGTTTTATTGAATAGTTTTGAAAAAATTCTAAAGTTCCCTTTTGATATACTTTATGCATTTTTCACTTTGGAATATTCCAATATTAAGTCTTTTTCCAATTTTTTCGATATTTATTTCTACGTCATTGACTATATTATTCTGATTTTCTTCCATTTCTTCTAAGGTTTGGTTACTAATTTCATTGCCCATTCTTCTTGTTGAATTCATCCTTGTTAATAAACTAGCCATGATAATCTGTTTATGTCTTAAATTAAATTTTTGTATTACAGGAACCACCTTTGGGACCACGGCCTTACACTCTCTACTATCGCTGAACAATTACTAGATTGATCAAATATAACACCAAACTAAGTTTTGAAGGACACGGATGATACGAACGGCACCAACCTTGTGATGCAACCCATACAGACAGGAAAGGATCTAGAAGGTAGGATTCACGTTAATGAACACGAATGCAGCGGAATCACCTAAACCCGCTGATCACGTGGTCAACGAACCTCGGCATTGGTAGAAGACGCCACAATCTAGTGCAGTTTTAGATTGATAAATCGAATTGAATACCTAAGAACGATTCTAAGATATTCAATGGTGCTTCAATGAAGTTTTGAGAAAACTCTCAAGTGTATTTTTATTAATCATCAAAAACTCCCCCATGAACGTCTCTTGTCTTGGCTATATATAGCCATACAACTTGAAAACCTAAAGTGACTTGAGAACCCTAACTCGGTTAGGCTAGGCCTTTGGCCCGATTCCACTACTCAAATCCACTATCTAATGGTCAGCTTATAATCGATCCAATGAAGGATTTAAGTTGGCCCAACACAACCCAATAAAAGCTAATTAACCAACTTAAGTAATAGTGAGCCTAGACTCTATAAATCGGATCCAACTCAACATGAGGTCTTGGACCGAATTTATTCCTAGCAAATAAAATAGAAATCTGGAAAACAAACTACTAATTATTATTAAAAGATTCAATCTCTTGTAGGCCAAAACATGTGTGACAGCCCCACCTTACCCTAAGGCGAACCAAAGGGTTCAGCGGACCGCCTGTCCAACTCTCGCCGGGACTCAGTCATACCTCAATCAATTCCGAAATAAAACCACAAGAATTCGTATAACCATAATCCAAAACTTAAACTCAAAACTCATTCACCTCAAATAAAATCGAAACAAAACCACAAGGCAAAGTATAACAATTCCAAGCTTAGAACATACACTTATAGACATTTCTATATCAAAAGGAATTACAAAATCAAATGTACAAAAGTTCTCAATTTTTCATACATCCAACCCGTGCCAAAAGGTAGGGCGAGAACCATTACAAAATCAGAAACTAGTTTAGACTAGTTTAAACCGAGCTCTCGTCCTTGCTCGCCTTCCCCTGTTAAGGAAAACAAAACTAAAGGGATGAGCTAAAAGCTCAGTGAGATTCTGAACACATAATCAAACAATCAATTCAATACATTAAACATAGAGTATCGATAATTCAAGAAACATTTACAATGGAAAGCGATAATAATACATTCATTAAAAGGATACGGTCTCACAGGGAGCCATTCATTCGTTTGTTCATTCATTCTCCTAACATTCCCCTTATTTCTCCAATCATTTGAAAATGTATTTTTGCAAGTAAAACCCCTCATTTCATTGACATTCGTTCTTTCATTTCATTTCACCCCCTCCTGGACGTTGGTCAGGCTCCGCCAGATTACAAGGTAATACTCGAGTACACCAAACATTGTCCTAGGGTCACCAGCCGCCCGACCGAGTCCGCTTTTACCTCGAGTCGACTGGCAACGAAGGGTAAGGGTTCAGTTCAGCCAAAAGGCTTACATTCATGCACCAATAGCATTTAATCATTTAATCATTGAAAATTTTACATTTATTTAGGTCGAGTACGATAAAGTACACACTCGCCTAGTAAAATTCGTTTTAACAGTCATTGATAACATGGAACATGTAATCATACATCCAACACAAGCCATATAGTCAAGAACAAGCCATATAGTCAATGAAAATATAACAAACAAGGAACACTCACCTATTTACGCAAAATAATATCCAAAATATCTTGCCGGATAATACCGTTAGTCACCGATGAACCCTAATATAATTAAAAGAACACATTATGCTTCAACTATCAAAAATTTAAGTGATTCAAAGAAAATTAGAATACGTACTAGTACAAAATATAAATATGGTTTTGGTAGTGAAAAGAATACATTGAAACCAAAGGACATAAGTAAAATATTTGTAAAACTTATGCTCACTCGTAATTTCTCATAAACTAACTTATACTAAAAAAAAATGATTTAAAACTATATTTACTTTTAAAAATCTCTAGAAAATCAATATATTAGGGAATAATGAAGAAAAAAGCAGGCGAGGAAATAAAATGAATAATATAAAATTAGAAAAATTTACGGGTCCTCGCAACATGGCCCATAAGCGGCCTATATTTCGTATCTTTCTCCTACTCTTGAAAAAGATTTGTTCTCAAATCGTGTTTGGAAATGAATGGTACTACAAGAGTTGGCAGTATGAAACCTCAAATCTCCACATATTGGCTCTCTTAGAATGAATGATATTTGCATACGTCATGATTACTGTAATTCGGTGCATATGTCTCTTGGTCAGCTTGAAAATGCTCACAATCTACCATAGGAAACTCAAGGCTTTACTCCAACCACTCCAAAGCTCTCTAATCAGCATGGTGTCATGAATGGTCGAATTTGGACCTACACAATAAATCACACGATTAATATTTGTAGGTATAAAATCACTTGACAGCTTACCAGTCACTTTCACAAAATAAGGATCTTCATAGTGATGCTCAATCAGGTTAGAAAAGTCTCGGACATGATTGTACAAAGTTACAAAATTCATTGCAAGTTGTTGTTGGTATGACCTATCTTGCACAAATGGAGCAAGATCGAGATAGGCAGCTTTTGAACCTTCAAATTGAAGAATAAAATCAGATTGTAAGGAATCAAAATTTGGACCAATAAGGAAAGAATTATCACCAACGAAATAAGAAGAAAGTTTATAACAAGTTTCAAGTGTAGAAACTCCCTTTGAAACTTCATTATTCCTCCCAACGAGCAAATCAAGCTCATGGTTGAAGTTGAACATCAATGGATGACAAAGAGATACAACACTTGAGATGCAAACTCTATGAAAAGTTTGATATTCACCAATGGATTTAGGCATAGAGCATGCTAAGATCAACTCAATTTTTCCTTACTTAACTTGCATAAAAGTAGAAACACTAAACAAAGTAGAGTTAAGATCGTTAGAAAAAACATATGATCTCACATCCTTTCTCACAATCAGCTTACTCTTAAATTTTTAATCTCTTACTCATGCTCAGTAGCTGACTTTTTCCCCTCATTATTCTCAACCTCTTTCTCCTTTTCAACTCCCTCGAATTTTACCTCTTCAGTTACAATTCCCTTATCTAGCTCTTTCTTCATACTATAACGCTCATGCTCACTTTTCATGTATGCTAGATCAATACAAAGTTGCTTAGAATTAAGCGACACAAGCCTGGTACGACGGCAATTAAATGTGAAGGAATATTTATTAGTATATCCATCATATATGACTTCTCGATTAAACATCCACCATTATCCCAACAGCACATGCGTCACTTGAATGGGAACTACATCACACAATACCTCATCCACGTATGAGCCAATACGAAAAAGAACAAGTGTGTGTTTAGTAATTCAAATATCACCACTATCACTTTGCAACTTCTAAGGTCGAAGATGATCAATGGTTGGAAGATTCAATTTCTCAACCAAGACAGTACTTGCAAGCTTAACTTCACAACCCTTATCAATGGCTAACTTGCAAACTTTATCCTTGATGTGGCAACGTGTATAAAACCAATCATTTTTTTGAGCTTTGATGATTTCCAATTGCTCAGTTATCTCACGCAATGCTACAGTATTTACTCCTTTAGGCACAAGATGGTGAAGCTCTAGTTGAGCATTCGTTTGTCTCATACTTTTATTACCTACAAAACTCAACAAACATTAGTAGAACAGTCCTCACTCACTCCCTTACGTGTTTTGCTCACTCTCGTGTATCACTCAAGTGTTTAAAACATTTTTAATGTTCTCACCAATGTTCTCCAAGCCTCTTGATAGCTTACTTTGAAGAAATTAGAACTCCTTCAAGTAAACAATCAACTTACCAATGTTGGTCTCGAGAGTGTGGCAATCCTCAATAATGCCTCCGAGGTGATTAGAATGTGGAGATAATACAAACTCGAGAGACAATGAAATGCATAGAATCAAATGAAAACAAAGGAATACTGAGACACGGACAGTGATGAAGGCAAAGACAAGACTAAATGGAAAGAAAAGTACGCTTTTTTTTTTAGAAACGTAAGCTGCCTTGCTTGTTTAGTAGGTCTGAATATGCAACTAAAGGCAAGAAATGGTAGCGGTTATCTCCCTATAATGTAGGAAGAGTGGCCGTAAGAAAAAGGTAAGGAAAGGTTAAGAACTCCTAAAATGTAGGAAAAGGTAGGGCTAAAATATAGGTAAGAAATCCCTAAAAAATAGGGCAAAGGTGGCAGCTGGTGTATAGGCTAAAAGGTAGGAGAAAATGTTGCTAAAGTGTGGGAAAGTAATCCCTAAAAGGTAGGAAGAATAATTCCTAAAACGTAGGGATGCGTCTTGATTGGAAACCCAACTACTTTAGCAACCAAGCAAGACTAGGAAACCAATCAAGAAAAGAAATCTAATCAAGAACTTGGAAACCAATTGCAATTACGAAATTCCATCAAGAGACACGGCCAATTGCAATTAGCAAAGGTAGGAAGAATGATTCCTAAAATTTCTGGAATTTGGCTTGGCCGAAATAATTATTTTGCTTGCTTTTTTTTTTTTAACGACAGCAAAAATGATTGACGGCTAGGGTTTCTTCTTTTGGACTTGGCTGGCTGCAAGGGAAGAAAGCAACCAAGTCAGATTCGACACTTTGCCAAAGTTACTCAACACACTTGGTATTTTCCAAAAACTTGTAAGGTTCACAAGTCTCATGGTTTTAATTCTCCAATGAATGGTTCACAAACCCCCAAAACAGTCCACAAACATTCTCCAACTAACAATTCACAAACCCCCAAAACAATCCACAAACTCACAAGTGCAAGCAACAATTTCAGACAACAAGGGTACACAAAGGCATGGCAGCCGCTGTTTCTTCTCTTTCTTTTTCTTTTCTCTCTTTTTTTTTGACTCAAGACACCTCTAGAACAACCCTAATGACCCTCACGGACAAACCCCAAGTTGTGGCAGCCGCACACAACACAACACGCACGATGGACAGATCCGACACAAGACAACCTAAGAGAGACACAAAATAGAAATTTTCAATGAAAGGACAAGAGGAAACAATTGCAGACTGACGTAAACAGATCGTAGCTGCTTTGGACAGAATTTTTGACCCTCAAATACGACAAACAACTTCAGACATAAAGCGGACAAATTTGAAGGCAAAAACGACAGAAACACAAGAGAGAACAAATGATACAATAATGGAGTAATAAAATAGAATTCCCGACTCAAAACAAGACAAACAAATGTGAACAAAGCATGGACAATTTGGAGACACTTGGACAGAAATTTTTGGCTCCAACAAGA